AGAAATGGAAGAATATACCATGTTCATGGATTGGAACAATTAACATCATTAAAATGTTCATACCATCAAAAGCAATCTATAGATTCAATGCAATTCCTATTAAAATGCCAATGGCATTATTTCTCTGATAGGAAAAATACTCCAAAAATTTATATGGAACCAAAAATACTCTGAATAACCTCAGCAATCTTGAGAAAGAGTAATAAAATTTGAGAAGTATAATACCTGATACCAAACTATACTACAAGGCCACTGTAATCAAAACAGTCTGGTACTGGCATAAGAACAGACATATAGATCAATGGAACAGAATAGAGAGCCCATAAATAAACCCAACTCTATGGTCAATTAGTATTTGACAAATGAGGCATGAGCATACAATACAGTAAAAATAGCATCTTCAATAAATGTGTTTGGAGAACTGGACTGGTATATGCAAAAAAGAAAAAGAAACTATACCACCAACTTACATCACACACCAGAATAAATTCAAAATGGATAAAAACTTAAATATAAGTTGTCACTCTATAACAGTCATAGAAGAAAACATTGGCAGTAAAATTTTAGATATCTCACGCAGCAATATTTTTACCAATATATCTCCTAGGGCAAGGGGAATAAAAAAAATGAGACTACATCAAATTAACAGGCTTCTGCATGGCTAAAGAATACATCATCAATATGAAAAGGGAACTAACTATATGAGAGAACATATTTGCCAATGACACATCAGACAAGGATTTAATTTCCACATATAAAGAACTCATAGGACTCAATTCCAGGAAGACAAAAAATGCAATTTAAAAAATGAGCAAAGAACCTGAACAGACACTTCTCCAAGGTGGACATACAGAAGGCCCATAGGCATATGAAAATATGCTCAACATCACTAGCCATCAGAGAGCTGCAAATTAAAACCACAATGAGATACCACTTCACACCAGTCAGAATGGCCACCAATAACAAATGAACAAACAAAAAGTACTGCGAGGGTGTGGAGAAAAGGGATCCCTAGTGCACTGTTGGTAGGAATGCAAACTGGTACAGCCACTGTGAAAAACATTATGGAATATCTTCAAGAAATTAAAAATGGAATTACCTTTTGACTCAGCAATACCACTGGGAATATACCCTAAGAATCCCAAATCACCAATTTCAAAGCACTTAAGCATGCAGCGCTATTTCCAATAGCCAAGGGCTGGAAACAGGCTAAGTGCCCATCAGTAAATGAATAGGTCAAAAACAATGGTACATTTATGCATGGAACGCTACACAACAGAAAGAAAGAAGAAAGTCCTACTTTTTGTGACAACATGGATGGAACTGGAGAATATTATAGTAAGTGAAACAAGCCAGTAGGTGAAAGACAAATACCATATGATCTCACCTATCAGAGGATTCTAATGAACAAAATTAATTAATGAACAAAAGTAGAATTGGAGGCATGGAAACATGGTACAGACTGAATTCGACCAGAGTGTGGTAGGAGGGTGATTATGGTGGAAAGAAGGGGAAGGGACTAGTCAAAGAACATGCATGAATGACTCATAGACATGGACAATGGTATGGAGTTTGACTGTGGGAGTGGGAGGTGGAGTTGGACAGAAAAGAGTAAAGGGGGAAAATTGTGACAACTGTAATACAATAATAATAAAATTGTTAAAATTAAAAAAAATATTTTATTTATTTATTTTTTGAGAGAGGGGAAGGGAAGGAGAAAGAGAGGGAGAGAATATCAATGTATGGTTGCCTCCCGTGCGTCCCCTGCTGAGAACTGGTCTGCAACCCAGGCATGTGCCCTGACTGGGAATCGAACCACGATACTCTGGTTCACAGGCCCGTGCTCAATCCACTGAGCTACGCCAACCAGGGCAAAATTGTTAAAATTTTTTAAAAATCATAAGAGGTTCAAACAACAGTCATCTAAGAGTTTGGGGCATTAAATACTGTCTTTTTTATTTAAAAAGACAGGATTGTGTTTCTTTTGTTATATAAGGTTGCAAGTTAATCCAAAAGTGGAAAAAAAATGGAGCATTTGCATAAAATGCCCAAGATTACAGGACTAGTCTCCTCTTTGTGGACTAATTCATATATAATGTGAAAATTCCAGTCACAAATTTTAAAACAGGTTAATGTTTTGGAAGTTCCTGTTTGGCTATAACCAATAGAAAACTTTCTTTGTGTTATAAATAAATATAATGAAATTATGAGACCTTTCTTTTTCTCTCCCACTTAAATCCTCTATTTAAATGAAAATAACATCATTTTACTTTCTCATATAAAAGTAATGCATCACTGATTTTTTAAAAAAATGAACAGAAAAGTTTAAGGAAGTAAAACACTCCACTACCTATATATCCTTTTCTGAGATCTTTCTTCCGTTTCCTATAGGGGTGCAGGAGAAATGCTGGACCTTCATGGCTGGTGGTTGCACAGGGATAAGGGAATAAAATTATTCCTCAAAGTGAAAGGAAAGACCAATGAACATGGGAATAGATGCAGTCTCTTCCTGTTAACTAAAGGAAGGGAGATTCCATCCACAAGGCAAAGAAAGATATCCCTGGTTTCTGCGACTGATGGAAGAAAATGAGTGGCGGGACCTGACGTGGCCAGGGAAGAAAAGGGGTGGGTCAGCGCCAGCCGCACTGCTGGCATGAGTGGTAATTGGGGTCTTGAGTTCACGAGTGACGTGGCTCTCATGTGGGCAAATGCAGACATGTGCAGATGTCCTTCTAATATTAGTCTTCTTTTGGTCTGGTTGTCATCTGCCTATTGCCCCAAAAGTGGGCGGGCCTGTGGACTGGGAATGAGGAGGAGGTAAGTAACTGCTCCAATCCCAGCAGGTCTGTGTGGATAGGCGCTGCCTGGGAGATCCCTGCTGTGCGGGTTGAGGAAGGTGGAGACTGAAAAGAGACAAGGTCTGCTTTCTCCGCACCCTTGCATTATCCCCTGCCCTTCCAAGAACGAAAATGTTGGATGTTGGAGGCTGTTTTACAGGGGAAACCTCAGGACAGGAGGGGAGAATCCTTTGGCATGCAGGACATTGAATCCTGTAGGGCACTTTATTAGGATTCGTGTCCTGTGCCTGGGTCCTGGGTCATCTGCCAAACCAGAATCTTGGGGCTTTGCGTTTGTCTGACTATGTGTTGTTCTGCTAGACTTTCAGTGGGGCACTGTACCTCTCAGAGCAAAAGAACAAAGAATCTATCTGGAATCCTTGCACATCAGTGTAAAGGGGGAATTAGCCCTCGACCCACGAGAAGGGCAGAAATGACTGAGACCCTTGCCGTAACTTGGGCGCATTAATGACTCTCTCCACCTATCTTATTGCTCTTTTATGTAGGAAAAAAGGATATGACACAACCTATTAGAAAAATGGTTGTTAAGGGAGGAGGATGGAAGAGTAGGAATGCACTGGGGAGGAGAATTGAAGAGATCCTTTGGTCTTTCTCTCCGCCCATTTTCCATACTTCCTCCTCCCCTTTCCCCTACCTCTCTATTTTCTGTCGTCCCAAAGGGGTGTGGTTTTTGTTGGGAAAACCGATCTGGGCTGGAGATGGAGGGAGTGGGTGGACGCAATGCAGGAGGCAGGGTGATATCTTTGGAGTCCTGAGAAGTGGAGACAGGATTAGAAAACAAAAGGTAAAATCCGTTTAACTACCAGAACCTTGAATTTGGAAAAGCTGCTATTGGGACTCTGAAGTGCTGTTCTGTCCGCCCATCCATTTCTGCCGAGTCGCCAGTCTGTCTGTGGATCTTGCACCTGGAGGCCTATAAAACCCGAGAGCAGGAAGAAAAGGAACATTGTCCAGAAACAAGTAGGTCAGAATGAGGATGCTGACGGTGTTTGGCATCCCCTGCGGTGGAGAACGCTGGCGATTGCAAACTCGAATGGGCCCATGGGTCTCCTCTACATCCCCCTCCTCTCTACACCATTTCAGAACTTGCAAAAGAAAAGCTCTCTGCTGCTACAAGACAGGGAAAGAAGTGGCTAAGAAGGGGGCGGTGTCATGAGAGTCCTGGAGTGGGAGTAGGGAGGACCTTCCTCCAAATTACTGTTTGGGGTATAGTCCTTGGTATTGGTCCGTCCGTCACTCACTCAATCCTAGGTTTAATAGAGGCAGAAACCGAGATCAGGAATGAAGGAAATTCCTCCGGAGCCGTGGAAGTCGGTATAATGGGTCAGGGAGGAGTGTTCTGGTACCTCTGAGATGGTGGGGGTGGCAGAAGTAAGGGTGAAATTCCAGACATTTTTGCATTTTACCCATCTGGCTTCTAGACAGTCTCACTCCACCTCCATCGGTTTCGTCACAGGGAAGGAGGTGGGGAAGGGAGCTGATGAATTTCAAAGCGGCAGCAATGTAAGAAGAGCAGTATAAAGTAGGTGGGAAATACTGGTCTATGAGGAAGAAGGCCAGGGATTTAGGGGAGGTACCTATGTCCAGTCACGGTAAGATCATCTGTCCCCTGAGCTCTCAGCAATCCCTTCCCCACCCCTTTTGCATGCAGGTTTGCAGAACACTGCACTTCCAGGCAAGAAAGAAAAGAAACTGTCTGGACTTGTCTGTGTGTATGTAGGGGTGCCAATGCCCCCAGAACATCTGGAGGGGCACAGGAAGTAGGAAAACTTAAATACCTTAAATTTATTAGATATTTTAAATTGAACTAACTGGGGTGAAGTGGTTGAACATGATGTTGGAAAATCTGGAGGTGGGAAAATTTCTCAAAATTAATTTACCAGTGGAGGAAATGAGTCAGTGATCTAGCCTGGAGTCCCCATCCCTTTGTTGGCCCATAGTTTAGTCTGTTTGCCCACAAAGGCACAAAAGGAGACTGAATCCTCAAACCTTTCCTTCTTTCCTAGGTGCTGCTGTATCTCCAGCTACAGCAGAGCCTGCCACCTATAGCTAAAGACTCCACCCTACACTTGGGAGTACTCTTAACCACAGTAAGCCCTCTTTGTCCTGGGTGAAGAATTCAACTCAGACATTTGCCCTAGTATGGGTTGTACTCAGGAAGCTGGCTGTGTTGCAGCTGGTGTGGTGATTGGGGCTGGAGCTTGCTACTGTGTATATAGACTGACTTGGGGAACAGATGACAGTGAGAAAACCTGAGACTACAACAATGACAGTGAAGATGAGGAATCTAGTGATATTACAGGGATTAGTGTGGAGACTGAGAAAGGAGGTAATACTTGGGTGGGGACCAGAGCTAGACTTCAAGGTGACTCAAAGGTCAAGGCTGAGGTGGTTGTAGAACTCAAAAGTTGTCCAGATGCAAAGGAAGAAGCCCACTCAGAAGCCCAGACAGGAGGTGGCTTAGAGGCCAAGGCCAAGGCCCTTTTCAACACCCTGAAGGAATAGGCAAGATCAAAGGCTGTCAAAGGGGCCAGGCTGGGTACCACCTCTGGGACCAGGACACTTGCACAGAGTTTACCCTGCCCAGGAGGCAGAGGTGGAGGCTGCCATCCCACCAGGAGTAGGGCTAGGGCTGGGAGCAGGGTAAGTGGAAAGTTCAAGAAAAAGGCCCGAGCTAAGAGCACCAAGACTCCAGCTACCACATGGCCTGTTTGCAGGGGCAAGTCCAACTTTCCCTATAAAATTGATGACATTCTAGGTGCTTCAGACCTTCAAAAGGTCCTGAACATCCTGGAAAGAACAAATGATCCTTTTATTCAAGAAGTAGCCTTGGGCACTCTTGTTAACAATGCAGCATATTCATTTAACCAAAACGCCATTCCTGAATTTGGTGGTCTCCCAATTATTGCAAAACTGATAAGAACAAAAGATCCCATTATTAAGGAAAAGGCTTACAATGCCCTTAATAACTTAAGTGTGAATGCTGAAAATCAGGGGGAGATTAAGATGTATATCAGTCAAGTGTGTGATGACACCATGATTTGTCGCTTGGACTCAGTTGTGCAGATGGCTGGACTAATACTGTTAACCAACATGACTGACTAATCATTACCAACATTTGCTTTCCTATTCCTTTCCAGACTTTTTTGCTTTGTTATTCCTGGGAAATTACTTCACCAAAATTCAGATTATGAAACTTATTATAAACTTTACTGAAAATCCAGCTATGACACGAGATCTGGTCAGTTGTAAAGTACCATCAGAATTGATTTCCCTCTTTAGTAAAGAATGGGACAGAGAGATTCTTCTTAATATCCTAACCCTATTTGAGAATATAAATGACAACATAAAAAATGAAGGGCTTGCATCACCCAGGAAAGAGTTCAGCAGAAGTTCACTTTTTTTTCTTATTCCAAGAATATGGGGTGTGTGTTAAGAAAATCAAAGCATTAGCAAATCACAATTATCTAGTAGTAAAAGTAAAAGTTCTAAAAGTATTGACCAAACTTTGATTGAGGTCTGCCCCAAACATCAACATGATTTTTTTTTATATTGCACTTGGAAACAATGCATTTGGTAAATTCTTTGTTTTTCACTGTGCTTATATGGTAAAAAAGATACTTTCAGCTTCTATTTTGTAAAAATGAATATCACAAATCATCAGTGATACTGGTTGTGATGGTTGCTTTTAGGCTGCACCATTTAGACTTGCAGGGGTGTCCAACCTTTTGGTGTCTCTGGGCCACACTGGAAGAAGAGTTGTCTTGGGCCATACATTAAATATACAAACACTGACGAAAACTGATGAACAAAGGAAAGGCTTTAAGTAAATTTATAATTTTGTGTTGAGGCACATTCATAACCATCCTGGGTCACATGCAGCCTGCGGCCTGTGGGTAGATGCCCCTGTTTTTAGAAGATGCCAAGTGAATACTAAAGCTTGTGCAAAGAAAGCACTTATTGATTCATCTTGCTGCCTAGCTTGAGATATTTTTACTCTTTATCCAAACTGACAGCAAACTAATCATAAACAACCTACACTTTTGTATTGGCTCACAATTTGTTAATTTTAGAATTGCGTTTCATCAATAAAGTTGTGTGATTAACCAGCAAAAAAAAAAAAGAAATTTATGACCTTCAGTTTATGATTATTTGGGAAGGCAGGATGTATGGAAACAAAAAGATATTAACAAAACAAGGAGCCACTGATAATGTGGCCAGCTGCTTCTTATTAGTGCTTAGAGATGGCAGAGTTCTGCAGGCAATGGTGCGCAGAGAAAATTTTACAGAGGAGGGAGCACATATGTAAGCTGAGCTTGAAGGATAAATTAAAAGCAGGGCAGAACCACGCTGGTTGGTGTGGCTCAGTGGATTGAATGCTGGCCTGTGAACCGAAGGGTCGCCAATTGATTGTAGTCAGGGCACATGCCTGATTGTTTGCTAGGTTCCCAGTGGGGGGCATATGAGAGGCAAACAAACACTGATGTTTCTCTCCTTCTTTCCCTCTCTTCCCCTGTCTAAAAATAAAATACACATGGACAAAAACTAAGGGGGGTGGAAATGGGAGGGAGGTGAGGAGAGCTGGGGGTTGGGCTGGGATGGGAGTAAAAGACAGAAAGCTGTACTTGAATGAAAATTACAATAAATTATTTTTAAAAAGAAAATAAATAAACAAATTTAAAAAACAGGGCAGCAGAGCACTGGAGGAGCGAGGAGAGGAGGAAAGAAAGGCATGGAGATGGGAATTCTCCAGAAAGGAGGCTGGCTTGCCTGAATGCAAAGTGTGGGAAAGGGAGTGGTGAGAAATACAGTCCAGCATTTGAGGTGACTCCCATTTGTGGAAGGTTCCTGATTACGGAACTGAGGTGTCTGCATATTACTCTATCCAATCCTGGGAGACACCAAAGCCTTTTGTGACCATGGGAATGACAGGATGAAAGGGAATTGATGTGGCTGATTTCTGTGCAGGATGAGTCTGAGTGGGGAAGGGGACAGAAGTGGCTACTGAAGATCAGAACACCAGCTAGGAAGTTCCCACCATAAGTCCGAGTACAAAATGATAAAGGTGTGAAATGTCATTGCTGGTCATGAGAATGATAGGGGAAAGAAGGAAGTGAGAGACCCTTTGAACAAAGAAGTGCTGGGACCTATTCTGGGGGCACACACTGAGGGGCAATTTTATTTTAGAGTCCTGGGGGCATTTGATAGGAAAATGCCCTCCTTCTTGGCCAACTCTGCTATCTATGTAAATAAATATGTGAGTTACTATTTTAAAATAAGAAAATATAATAGAAGAAATAATAAATGTTAGTGCTTCTATCAGATTTCTTATATAACGTAGGTTGAGGCAGGGCCTTTATGGAACCATCAAAAGAACTGTTGGCATTCACACTGGAGAAGGTCCACCTCTCTCTCAACCCAGAGTGCAGTGAGAGTGGAGTAAGGGCACTCCCAAAGTGTGCTGGTGGGAACATACACTGGTACAAGTTGCATTTGGACACTTGATTCAGAAGCCTGAAGATGTACATGCTCTTTAACCTAGTGATTCCACTGGTGAAATTTATCCTTAGAATTGCATCTGTGTTCTGAAAGGGAGTAGGTGCAATATCTTTTGAGACACAAATAATAATAAGCAGGAAAACAAAAACCAGGAGACGTAACACTTTCTTTACCTGCCCACTGTCCCATTGACTTGATGAAAGACCTTGGCATAACTTTTCAGAAGTACAGGAAAATACATTTGAGAATTTCACCTACTTTATCAGGTAGAGCAGACATACCAGCAACCTACAAAAATGAAGTGTTCCAGAACTTCTCTCATGATGGCAGCACAGCAGATGCTGATGCAGACCTGGCCTGGGACCTCTGCAGGCATGCTAGGGCATGGCTGCTGGAGATGCATGTCAGTTACCTTCTGGAATCACCAGGTGTGTTCCACTGTGTGAATACTGTTAGTTTAAAATAGCTTACACAATCTTCTAATTCACAGGCTTGGAATAAAGTATTCTTTCTAATATCATTATAAAAAAGAAACTTATCCTTAGGAAATAATCAAATAATGGGCTTCTGTAAGTGCAAAGTGTGAAAAAGTGTGAGTGAGACAAGTGACTTAAGATAAACACTTGGCTAAACAAAGTAGATTATGTCTACACGTTGACACATTATATACCTGATTGGTGTAGCTCGGTGGACTGAGCATTGGCATGGGATCCAAAAGTTTGCCAGTTTGATTCCCAGTAAGGGCATGTGCCTAAATTGTGGGCCAGGTCCCAGCTCGGGGGCACATGAGAGGTAAGCACACATTGATGTTTCTCTCCCTCTCTGCCTCCATTCCCCTCTCTTTAAAAATAAATAAACAAAATATTAAAAAAACATTTCTGACACAATTAAAGTCATAGACTCTAACATAGGCATGAAAATCTCAGATATCCCACATAGCAATATTTTCTCCGATATGTCCCCTAGAGCAAGGGACATAAAGAAAAGAATAAACAAATGGGATCTCATCAAAGTAAAAAGTTTCTGCACAACTAAAGAAAACAGCATTAAAATGAAAAGGGAAAACATATTTGGAAATGATACCTTGGACAAGGGTTTGGTCTCCAAAATACATAAAGAATTCATATAACTCCACTCCAGGAAGAAAAACAATCCAATTAAAAAATGGGCAAAGGACTTGAACAGACACTTCTCCAAAAAGGACATACAGAAGATCCAGAGACACATGAAAATATGCTCAATATCACTAGCTATCAGAGAGATGCAAATTAAAATCACAATGAGATACTACTTTACGCTGGTCAGAATGGCCATCATAAACAAAGCAACAAACAACAAGTGTTGGAGAGGTTGTGGAGAAGAGGGGACCCTAATCCACTGTTGGTGGGATTGCAGACTGGTACAACCACTGTGGAAAACAGTATGAAATTTTCTCAGAAAAATAAAACTGAATATGCCTTTTGACCCAGCAATTCCACTGCTAGGATTATATCCTAAGAACCCTAAAACACCCATCTAAAAGAACCTATGCAACCCAATGTTCATAGTAGCACAATTTACAATAGCCAAGAGCTGGAAGCAACCTAGGTGCCTGTCAGTAAATGAATGGATCAAAAAATTATGGTACATATACACAATGGAATTCTATTCAGCAGAAAGGAAGGAGCTCCTATCCTTTGCAACAGCATGGATGGAACTGGAAAGCATTATGCTGAGTTAAATAAGCCAGGCGGTGAAAGACAAATACTATATGATCTCACCTTTAACAGGAAGCTAAACAATAAAACAAACAAGCAAGCAAAATATAACTAAAGACACTGAAATAGAGAACAGGGGGACAGTGGCCAGAGGGGAGAGGGGAGGGAATTTCAGGGGAAAAGGATGAAGGATTTACAGGAACTAGTATAAAGGACACATGGACAACAACTAAGGGGGTGGAAATGGGAGGGAGGTGGGGAGCACTGGGGGGTGGGATGGGGGTAAAAGAAAACTGTACTTGAACAATAATTAAATAAAAATTATATTAAAAAATTGGCAAAGGACTTGAACAGACACTTCTCCAAGGAGGACATACAGAGGGCCCAGAGACATATGAAAAAATGCTCAGCAGCACTAGCTATCAGAGAGATGCAAATTTCTTAATACTTTTATCTAGTCATTTTTCAAGTACAGTTTTTTGTCTATTTCTTCCATCCCAGCCCCCCCTGCCCAGTGCTCCCCACCTCCCTCCCATTTCCACCACCCTTAGTTCTCGTCCCTGTGTCCTTCATATTTGTTCCTCCAAATCCTTCCCCTTTTCCCCCTTTAAATTCCCTTCCCTCTCCCCTCTGGTCACTGTCTTCTTGTTGAAACCACAATAAGATAGCACTTCACACTAGTGATAATGGCCATCACTGGCAAACTGATGAACAACAAGCATTGGAGAGGATGGGAAAAACAGGGAACCCTAACACACTGCTGGTGGGAATGCAGACTGGTGCAGCCATTGTGAAAAACAGTATGGAATTTCTTCAGAAAACTAAAAGTGGAATTCTTTTTGACCCAGCAATTCCACTGCTGGGATTGTACCCTAAGAATCTTGAAACACCAATTCAAAAGAACCTATGCCCTTTGAGGTTTATAGCAGCACAATTTACAATAGCCAAGTGCTGGAAGCAACCTAAGTGCCCAACAGCAAATGAGTGGATCAAAAAATTATGGTACACTTACACAATGGAATACTATGCAGAAGAAAGAAAGAAGGAGCTCCTACCATTAACGACAGCAAGGATGGAACGGGAAGGCATTATGCTAGGTGAAATAAGTCAGGTGGTGAAAGACAAATACCATATGATCTCACCTATAAGTGGAACCTAATCAACAAAACAAACAAGCAAGCAAAATACAACCAGAGACCTTGAAATAAAGAACAAACTGACACCAGAGAGGAGGTGGGAGAGGGATAATGGGGGAAGGGTCATCAAGGAACATGTATAAAGGACACATGGACAACGCCAAAGGGGGTAGGTAGGAG